AGTTTGGAGTATTTTTCAGGTATGCTGAGGTGCACTAAAATGTGACAATGACAATCTAGACTATAGACTGGCAGCAGGCACTGCATCTTGCACATAATAGGTGCATAATAAGTAGCCATATATATATATTTCCCTGTCACCTTTACCACTGTGCTCTTTGTTAGCTAACTCTTAAAAACAGCTGGGCTTCCTATCCTTCATAAAGACACTCTGCAGTCTATCATGCAGTTTTAGGGAGAAAGAAAAACGTACTGCTTTTCTGGTTGTACAACTGCAATCTTCCTCTTCTTTTGTGCTGTAAAACAGGCAAAAGGGGGAGAAAAAGAAAATCAGCTTTTTAGTTAATGGGGAAAATGCATTTTTAAAAAAGGGCTTAGTGTAAAATGCTCCCATTTTAAAATAACAATTTAAATACTGAAAAGTTATTTCACTCAAGCCACAATTTTTTATTAGTTTCTTCTAGCATAAAATAGATGTTACTCAGACATAAGATCGTAATAGAACTTAGCATTTAATTTTATCACTATACTCATTACTTTAATATAAAATGTGCTTTTAATGAGAAAGAGTACATATATTGTACTATGCATAAACATACCTATTAAGATAAATTGTTGTAAGCACATTTATCCAGAATGATTTTTTTTCCCATAGAAATTGTGATAAAGATAATAATTTGACCCTAAAATCACACTCCCAAAGTAGAACCTTTTATTACCAAAAGGAGAACTGGAGGCTAGCAAATATTTCTGGTCAAATATTGACATAAATGAGCAAATAATGACTTTTGGGATAAGAATATTTCCAGCTTATATTTATAATTGATTAGGATCACCTTAACAAAAACAGACCAAAGTTTTTAGCAACCATTAAATTTTGGCACAGATAATTCTGCCACTTCCAACATAAGCACAAAACTTCTAAAGCTGTTAAGAGTCCAGCGGGTTTAGGGTTTGCCTCTTTAAAGCAAGAAATGAAAGCAAGAATAAAATAAGAGAAATAAGCAAGGATAAAAATAATTTTACTCAATAAAATTATGTGGTATTCAATTCTAGTTAGTACTACAAAAAAGTATAAACTTTATGATCTCTAAGGCGAAAAATGAGTATAGAAGAACTTGTCAAGGGTGGGAAGGCCTGACTGTATGACATCCTGGGAAGGAGCCAGGCTCAGCAGCCCCAGGGGCAAAATGCAAAATGAGGAGGAAACATTATTATGTCCCCCTTAACCCATGTGTGATTTTGCTCCAGAAAAACTCAAAGCACTTGCAGCCTCCCAGTTCTGTAGGAAGGAGGGAAGAAGAGGATACAGAACAGCAGGTCCTACCTACAGAGGGGACTGAACCCCATCCCTGTGGCAGAGACAGGGAGGACCTGACCACTGGCCCTGCTGGCAGTGCAAATTAACAATCTGCATCACTCGAAGTGAGGGTGGATAAAAGACTGTCCCTGAGATTAAAATAATTATTCCATGCTCAAAGTTTTAGAACTATTTTAAAGTGAGAAGATATTACTCTAACTGGATCAGACTCGTTGAGCAGGGTTATCTAAGGGAAAGCCTCTTCTGTCTGTAATCTGAACTATCTATTCTGTTTCATGTAGATAATGTCCTCTACTGCTCTTAATGAATATTGAGTAGGAGGAATCTGCAAAAACCTGTTAACATCAGGAAGTGTGAAGCCAACAATGTGAAAGAACTTCATTTACAGCAATGTTCTGAGAAGCTACAGAAGTGTACTATATACAGCAGGTTGTTTGAAGTAAAGCTGGCAAACAAAGAAAATATTAGAAGTAGAATCTCTTTAACAGGAAGTTAAAACCTACTATCTTTAAGGACTCATGGTTTTAAATAATACTTTTGGTACATATTAGGATAGAATAATAAATGCAAAGATTTATTAGGTTTTAAGATTTTTAAATGGTACCATTTCATGATAATGATCTACAATAACAAATGCTAAAACACACTGTTGTATATATTTAAATGTGTTTAATATGTGTGTGTATTGCTGGATTATTTATCTACTAATATTGGTTTTATTTGGTATTTCTATGACTGAAAGGATGTGCAATAATACACTTTTTAAAGTACAGCTGAAATCTCACCTATTAGTGCTGAGTAGCTTAAGTGTTTATAAGAAAGTCAGTAAACTGCTGGGACCAATTATGATTTCTTTTGGAGGAACCTCATGAGAAAAATCAGTTCTCTCTAAGAAATGATAATATAAAAACATAGTATCTAGCTTAAATTTTATCCCCATCAAAATAATGGACTGTATGAAAGCCTGAGAGTGAAGATTTCAGATATTTTTTCTCTGCCTCCCGGTGACCTTCAACTGCCCCCTTACTGGGACATAGTGTGTCAACCTGTGAAATGTTTCCAGTGTTCAACTCATGCAAACACTTAAAGAATCAATGAGATAATATTGGTATGCTGTGGACCTCCAAACTTTCTAGTTTTTTGGAACATGGCTAGCCTTTCTTTACAAAACTGCTATTGATTCACTGAGATTGCAGATATGTTACCCACCATCCCACTCAACAGGGCAACACTTACAGACTGTTTTGTGTGCTGTAGTCAAAGGGTAGGAATTTGCTTCACACCAGCCCACTGGGAAGATATCCATGGACTCAACATCGACAACCACCTCTGGAACAGGAGTCTGCAGACCTGCATTGGAGGAAGCCAAGACCAGAGGTACAAACAGGGTTTACCCACAAAGAAACAGAAGGAAATAAATAATAGAGCATCCCTATGATTGAGAAAAACATTGCTCTGTATGTTAAAAAACAAAATACACAACAGTGGTATGGAAGATAGGACTTTAAGGGAGTCTATAATCTTATGACAGATACAAATGCTTGAGATATAAAAACAGCAAGAAGAGATGGG